TCACGCTCTCGCGGCAAGATCTTATTATTGAAAACTTTTCTAAGATTCACGTCGCGGTTTAACTATCAGGGCTTGAACGTCGTGCTGTCGCTGTGTCGCGGCGGGATCTTGAGAAAGTCTTATCTAGAGAGAAGAGGAATTCTTAAGAGTCGTGGTGAGTTCGCGATTTCGTGACGCGACTCTTGCGATCGCGAATTTCAACAGACGTACTCTGCTTAGTCGCGCCACGACTCTTGCTGCAACAAACTTTTCTTCGAAAGACTTGCTTAGTCGCGGCGCGATCGCTAAAAAACCTTGTATTCCCATCGCGATCGCGCTGAATTCTTAAACTCGCACTGTGATCTTGGCCTAATCCTATTTTAAATAAAATCTTTTTTTAAGATTCACTACACGTTTAATGTTCGCGGTGCGATCGCTATACTGTCGCTATGTCGCGACGTGATCGCTACAGATTCGCGATCTCGCGGCGGGACTTGAAAAGTTGATAAATTTTCAAAAAACCAAGTGAGTATTTCTTAGCGCAGTCTCTGTATTATCGCGGTACGATTCGCGATATGGTGAGTCGCATCGAGACAATCACAGATATATAAACAGTAGTATTGACGTAGTCGCGTCGCGCGTCGTGATTTTTATCGCTGAGCTGCGGTATAAGTAGAGGAATTTTAAAACGACGCGGTGCGAGTCTTGATTGTTCTGTGTTATACCTTATATTATCTTTCTGAACTTATATAACACACACATAGTGAGAAAAAGAAAAGTACAGGCTACATGTATGTGTGTTGTGCTCTTGGTTACATTGTTCTCTTCTTTTATCTTGAATCTATTGTATACACAACGTGTATGTTTTCTTTTAATACTCATTTCTTTTTTGTTATCGCAGTATTCAGATCACTTTACACCACAGTCTAAATTCTGGAAATCTGCTTTAACGAGCCACATGAAAACTGCAGCAGCTTTTGAAAAAAAGCAGTGCATGACTGCAGTAGACTACACGACATTTATCGTGTAGTCTACTGCAGCCATGCACTGCTTTTTTTAATTTTTTGTTTTAATATATAAGTTTGAAATATTAAGTGATATATAACTAAAATTGTGGCAAGTACACAGCAACTTCAGTATGTGAAAGCAGACAAAAATAAGTCCTTTCGTTTTTACTACATCTGTTACAAAACTGAGCCGTTTTCCTCCTAACAGTTTTGAAAGTAAAAAACTGGATTACCTTTGTCAGAAAATGCACAAGATCTGAAAGATTCGCCTGTATAGGTTCAATTAGCATGTTGACCATGTTAAAAGATCTCAAAATAAATGCACTAAGGTCAAGGTGTACGGGATGTACGACTGAGATGTCGAGAAACTGAGAGTGCATAACTAAGACTAGTTGTTATGGATCTTGATTCATCTTATTTTCTACTACTCCCTCTGGAAGTAAACAGTCAAGAAATAGTCTCTTAAGAGGGGGATCTCTCTCCTGTTTTGTAGAGCATAGTCTGCAATTCAGCAATTTTTTCGATTCCCGGACTTGTAAAGTGCCGCTAATTCAGAAGTTGAGTGGATTCGCTTTTTCAGTAAAAGGCACATATCCTGATTCAGTTTTTCATGCTGATCACGAATACCACCTTATTTTCGACAGCTTCAGGGAGAAAAACACAAAATACTGAGAAGAGCCAAAAAATCGAAAAAAGTTTGTCCTCCTAAATAATGACTTTATCTCCTCTCCCTTTTACTTTACGAACTCGCCGATATGATATTCGGAATCCTTCTGTGTGAATGGTTATGTCTCTGAGAGGCATAAACAATAAAAAATCCGCAAGAAATGCTCAAACTTATGCTTTTTCGACACTTTATACCACTATACCATATAATCTACTGACTGAAAGTATGGAATGAATAGGAAAGAAAAGTTATTTGTCTCAAAACATGGTTATTTTGGCTAATACCTGGTTTGCTACATTCCAAAGTGCTTTAAATGTTCATAAGAACAAGAACAAAAACCTGATGGTAATCAGTAGACAGACTTTTAACGAAATTATAAAAGTTTTAGTCGAAAACAGCTACTTTACTCACGGAACAATTGAGATTCGACAGATAATTGGGATACTCATGGATACTGGCCCTGGTTCTTATCTAGCAAACTTATTCTTGTACAAATATGAATTTGAATTTATGGAGAAAAATACTGGGAAAATGTACTCGACCTCTAGAGTTTTAAATAGTACATTTCGATGCATCGATGACCTTATTACTATCAATGCTGATAATAAATTTAACCATAATAAACAAGTGATTTATCCTGTGCAGTTAACTTGAAACCGGGAAAATCTAAATAATAAACAAGCGACATTTTTCGATTTCGAAATGAATATAATTAACGAAATAATACAAATCAAACCGTATGATAAACGTACCAAGTTCGGTTTTAATATTGTCAATCATCTAAATTTGAATGGTAATTTTCCAAATGTAATGGGTTATGGCACGGTGATAGAAAAGTTACTTCTCTTATCAAACGTTAGTATGGATTATAAAACATACTTTACGGTGGTCAAAATTTCTCTTACAGGGTTATATATCCGAAAATTTTATTAAAGAGCACTCTAATAGCACTTTTCAAAACGATATTTTAAGATGTATGATTGTTTTAACCCATATGCCAGCATCTTTAAAACTCAAAATTTGGCTATTATCACAAAATGTCTTCTCAACAACTAACAACATCATCATTTTTCAACATCATATCAAATCTCTGATTATGCAGTCTTAGCAATAACATCTTTTAGCTAAGGAGCGTCCGTACACATGAAAAGAAAGTACCAAGATTAAAGCTCCGAAACTATTTGTGTCTAGTTCTTAGCTGATGAGCTGCAAGAGGAGAGACGAAGTGATATTATGTTTAAATATATTTTACTGGAAACCACTAGAAAGTATTTTGCAGTTTTTACCCTGTATTCGAACAAAAAATGCTTTTTGTCTCTTCAGTAACAGTCCAGTGTGTGGAACTGATTGTTCGTTTAAAATACGTGTTTGAAAACAGTTCGTTTACGAATTTCCTATTAGTCGTATTCCTTTTTTATCACAAACTTAAGATTCTGGTAAGTATAATTTTCTGAGCTGACATCATCCGGTCGGTTAGTCTCCGTATATTCTCGAAGACTACGTTAGTGCCTTCGTTAGTACACGAAGCCAGATAATTCACCGACGTCTGAGTAATGAAACGTTTTTGAAAATAAACATAGTCCCAATCGATAGGATCCCGTGAACTGGAAAAATTGCAGCTATTGGAAGTGTCATGTAGTCAATAATGGAGATAATTCTCATTTTACCTAGCTGCTTATTTTCTATTTATCTTCTTGAATTAAACTGGAGACGAAAAATACAATAAAATATGACACACCCAAAAAGCAAAACAAAATCAAAAAGTTCACAGGTTAACATTATCAGCGATTCGAAAAAAAACTGTGTACGTTGTGTTATAATAGCAATCAAGAATAAAATCATCTTTTTTGTGTTGAAATAACTATTTCAAAATGAGACGTTTCGTCTTTATTCTAAAGACATCGTCAGCCAACTGATGTACAAAAAGTAACTTCTAACATAGAAAAAGGCAATAAAACACGTGTAGAACAGCAATCAAAGAAGTGTTATACGGCTTGTCCAAGCGTGACGCTGTGACATTTTTGACACAGTAATTTGAGCTTTTCTCAAAAACTGTAAGAGTTAGAAACTTCGTTCTTGCGCCATTCAACGCAGATCGCCATACTCTACTTTTGGTATAAAAATGAAGGTATGTGGTTAAAGATTCGAATTTGTAGAGTCGTTTTTCAGCGCGTGGCGCTGTTACAAAAAAAGGCCCTACATTCGACGTTCTTCTCATTAAAAACTAACTTGCTGCGAATTTAGAAGAGCTAATAAAAAGCGCCTCGAGCAAAGTTCGTAGAGGAGTAAGCGAGCTACTGATTGCTAAAAAAGAATTTTTCCATTGAGATTTTCATTCCTCAATAATTGTGTTTTATCGTTGTGACGCTGTGAGACACTTTTTCCCAACAAAGTTTGGAGCACTAAACATTGCTCAAAGGATTACATTTTCACATCAGACTTAGTTTTAGGCATCTAATATAGACTAACATGAAAATAAAGCTGAAAAAATGTTTTTACTTTCTTAGAATTGTGTGAGAATCTTAAAACTCTACCAAAAAGCTTGTTTTAAGTCTAAACTTCAACAGAAACATACCTTCTTGTAGAGAATCGCATTCTCTATCGAGTAGTGTGGCCTCCCGCTTTTATTAGGAAAAGTGTCTAGGTGAGGAAATTGAAAATACAGTTTTCAAAAAATGTAAAACTGGATTTGTGGTGCCAAAACTTCACTTTTTTAAAGACATAATGTGAGATTCGTGATCAGCACTAAAAACTGCATCTAGTGATATGCTCCTTTCAGTTCTACTCTAAAATAATTTTTTCAAAAACTTTATCAGCGAAGTGTGCGTTACGTGGACAAGCCGTATAGTTTAAGAGGGAGAAATTAGAAAGCAGAACATGTGAGTATACAATACAGTAGAACAGCAGAATATAAACCTTGCCTTAGTAGTTAAAACTGTACTCTATAAAATGGTGAAAGCCGCCGATCGCAAGCTCTTTTCCTTAATGAGATATCCAGAAAATAGTCACGTGCTTTATTTTTTTCAACAGACAGTAGTACATCAGGGGACCGATGATAATTCCAGTCATCATTAGCTATGAGAAATAAAGGACGATCTTCGTTATCTCAAATGTGAATTCCGTCATTCAGTAATTTAGGCCAAAAAGTTCTGATTTGCCGAACTTCATTCCTCCAAAATATGGTCTATTTGAGCTTGATCGTAAAAAGTTCAACCACACAGCGTAAAAATCATTTATTGAACAGTTATGTTTTTCATAGATCTTTACAACTCCCCCAAAAAAAACCACTGTCAAACCTTTGTTCCCTTTTATTTCTCGAATATTGTTGCTAATTCTGTCATCAATTGTCAATCGGACTGTTGCATATCATCGGGAAAATGATCTTTGACGGCGGCGATAGTTTCACTCGAAATCTAGGCGAGTAGACAGACACATTTATTTGAGAAAAAAAACAAAATGAATATGATCATACTTTGCTTATGAGCAAATCATTTTCATCGAAATGTCGACTGAACATTTTCGGTGCTTCATCACTGGTCGGTTCAATTTTGATGCATACTTCTTGACCTTTCCGCGCCACATCCAACGCTTTGTGATTCTTTTCTATGCTAACCACTCGACCGAGATCGACAAACTGAAATGACTTTCATATGGAATTCGAAGGAATAAATGCAATCGATACGTACATCTTTGGATGGTACACAAATGGGTGTGCCCAATTTGATGAAACCATCTTCAATAAGAACACCACAGATGATTGGATCGCGTGAATTGAACATGTACTGTGGCAAAACTTTTAATTTGCAAGGAAAAACGGCCAAATGTCGAAATTTCTCTTGCATCTCTTTCTTGCGCCGTGCGCGATGGGAAATAAACATGTCAAAGAGATGATAGATTATATCAGCTTGAAAGATGGTAATACCTAGGAGAGAAAACATACACATTTCAAGTTTCGATAGATAAACGTCTACAGTGGTCGATTAGGTACCTCCTAGTGAGAGGCTAGTTAGCTCGAAAAAAGGGGACAGTTTTTATGAGCACAGTTTTGACAGTTGTGTCAGTTTTGGGACAGAGTACGTACCAACATTGTCGGCATATTCCTGAGCGTCCTTTTCGATGTTGACATCGAACGCCAAAATAACCGCCCATCTAATCAAATCAAGCCTTAGTCGCTATTGACGAGTAAAACTAGATTGTATTCACTCACTGAGCCTCTCGTTCAAGTTGCGTGGACGATCGAATGACGTCTTTTCGGTGAACAGGTCCGATATTGATACTATCGTACTAAAAACAGAAAATGGGACGTTGATATTTTGTCGCAGGCTACTGCCAAGTTTCTCCCCCCATCCAACTTACGGGAATATTGGATTTTTTCAAAAATTCGAGCAACGCTTCTAAGGAACCTAGTGTAGAGGCTTGCACATGCACAGCATTTTCTTTCAGTTGAATCGAACTGAGGGCTGATTTGAGAATGGTCTGAATTCTGTGCTTGAAATATTCGATTTCGTCCTCGTTGCGACCGACAAACAGTGGAAGACCCGCCATTGCTTTTTCCAAATCTTTCGCTGCAATTTTGATACCGATCGCTGCTTTCACTTTCTTATAAGTTTGATATTGATTCTGAAGAGAAAGAAGATTGTAAATAAAAATTTCTATCAAACTGAGATGACTTACTTGGACACGCAATTCTTGGTTTGGCTTAGGCATAAGGAGACCGCGCACATGAGTGACAATCGGACCTTCTTGACCGGCAACTATAACCGTATCGCCAACACGCAAACGTCCGTTGACAAGAACAACGTCGATTGTCTTGCCGAGACCGCCGATAGCTTTTACCTAATATATATAGTTGGCCATTTACTGATATTTAAGAGTCAAAAGAGTGAACTGACCTCCATAATAGTCGCTTGAAGTTCGTCCGTGTAAGACAAACATTTAGTCAATACTGTTTGACATTGTTCAATAATCAATGCAATGAGCGAACCCATCCCATCACCGGTATGTGCGGAGGTGGGTACCATGGAAAAGAAGTCACTGGGATCCGGATTTTTATAGTAGGGAGCAACATTGAGACCCTACAAAAAAAGAACAAGCATTGTGCAGGCAAGTGCTTTTGTGAAGAGGTGAACCTGTTCAGCAAATTGAACAATAATTTCATTGCATCGCTTTTCGAATTCGTTTCGGGTAATTGAAATTTGCCTTTTCAGGACAACTTCGACATTCTTCTTGTTGTCGCCCTTCCAATTGTACAGTCGATCGATCTAAACATATCGTACGAACATTTCTTTCTGAAAACTGCGGCATTTCGTAATTTAAAAAGTCGAACCAAGTAACAGCTTCGATTTCAAACAAAGATCAGATAATTCTTTGGACTACCTTATTGAGCGCAATGATGAACGGTGTTTTTCTTTTAATTAACAATCTGATCGATTCGATCGTTTGTGGTTTCAAACCGTGCATGATATCAACCACAAGGATAGCCAAATCACAGAGAGACGAACCACGTGATCGCAAATTTTTGAATGATTCATGTCCGGGTGTATCGATGATGAGAAGACCGGGTACAATGTAATCGCCTTCGCGCGATATCAATTTGCGACACATTTTTGTCCGTTCGCAAATGGTTTCCAAGGGCACATTGGTCGCACCAATCTGTTGTGTAATACCGCCAGCCTCGCCATCTTGTACATGTGTTTGGCGGAGATTATCCAAGATTTTCGTTTTACCCGCATCGACGTGACCCAATACACAGATGATAAGTGCTCGGAGAACGTCTCGTGAACGGCGACTCTCACAGGCTTCGTGACGACGTTGAAAGCGACGACGAACACGTTCCATGGGTAACAGTGTCACATCGTTTTCATCCTTGTCACTGAACGAACTATCTTTATCACTTCCATCAGACGATTCTTCGTCCGAATCCGATTGTGAATTTTCTCCTCGAAGAAGTTTATCCTTCTCGTCAGCGATTTTCGAACGAGCATTCATGTCGCGTTGTGCCTCATCATGACCATCTATTCACATAAGCAAAAATCGGAATAGTTGTTTTGGAAAGTTCAGCAAAGCAAATACTACTTTCTGCGGTTACTGTCACTGTCTGAGTTTGAGATTTATCGACGTTGGCAGTGATTTCTTCTTCTGAATCTTGTTCCCAATCAACTTTTACATTATTCTCTTCCTGATAAAGAAAATAAATCATACAATCCGCTTTGATTTGACTTTCCAAAGCAAAAACCGACTTTAACTGTTTCCTTTTTCGACGTTTGAAGTACTTTCTTTCTACTTCTTGACGAGGACTTCTTTCCGTTAGCAGCAACAGAAGGTGTTTCGCCTAGATCGATACATACACAAAGAGTTTAAGATATTAAAACGAGCAAATTCTTTTTGCTAACCTCTAGATGCAGCGCTTGTCGTTCCACTCGGCACGTTTTCCACTTTAGTTTCTGCTTGTGTGTCATCGACTTGATTCTACAACAGAATGTAATCAAATCTTGATATGTCACTTTGTCTTCTAGTGGTATCTGATTGATTTTAGCTCTCAGGAGAACTCGCCAGACGAAGTTAGACGTTTTATCGGATTTTATGTAGACTCATTTGACGATGACAACAAACTCACGTTTATTTTTGGTTCAGTAGTAATTGCAGCGTCTTGTTCTTCTAAAAGTAAAGCGTCAGTTGTTTCCGTTCTGATATGAGACTATATTCTCACGTTGGGTTTTTTCCTTTTCCTTGGGTTTTTTCGTCTCTTTTCGGCAATCTTTTTCATTGATTTTCTTTGAAAAAGAAAGAAATCAAACCTCAGAAAATGGTTCTATATTTTCTTCTTTTTACCTGGAGAATATCCTCGAGATCCTGTCCTTTGTCTTCTGGAAAATCAGCAGCGCGGAGATTCGTGGTAGTTGAAGGTTTTGACTTGGTTTTCTTGTCATCTTTCTTCGTCGGCACACTCATCGCTTCCGTAGCCGCCGATAGTGAGTCTATTCTTTCGGCCTTTTCCTTGTCTGCCGGTTTCTTCTTGCCACCTTTCTTTTTGGAAGCGGCTGGAGCTGGTGCCGCTTTCGTCGGCGTTACTTCATCGCCGCTACTCTCATCCTCATTGCCTTGTGTCGCTTCATCTGAGAGGGGCATTGAGAATTTGTGTTTGAACGATGGGCCAGTTCGACTACCACCGATATCACCATCCTTGTCATCTCTGTTCCTTTGAGAAACATAATCCGCTCTAAATTTGCACAATAATTAGAGAGGTGTGTGTGTGTGTGGAGAAAAAGGAGAGATTTTACTTCGAAAGCGGTATTTTCTTGACTTGGCTGTCCATTTGTAGAAAACATTCGAAGACGTTAACCTGAATGAAAGTCTGGACATGAAAGAAGTGTAAAATGGTCTTGATGAAACCTAGTAGTCATTTATATACATGCGCAAACGTCAGAGGAATTGCGCAAGTTCTTTCCCAGTGTGAGAAGAAAGAGAGGTAGTAAAGAACATGACACATTATTTGCTATTTGTCATATTGTAGAAAAAATGAAAACGGTGTAAAGAACGAATTGCCTCCACTGATATGGTGTTGTAAAACCTGCCTGTGTAAGGTCAACAGACCTTTCGAGGCCAAACAGATCTTTCGACCTTACCTCTCTAAAGAAACGAGGTTTTCCCTTCATCCTGTTTAACGATTACTGAGTTATACTTTAATGGCATTTTTAGCGCGAAAACAGGACTTTCAAATTATGTACTTTAATTTTAAGTAAAATTAAGTCTTCTATAAAAGATTTTTTTCAAATACGCAGAAAACTAGCGTAGAGTAGCTCCATATTTTTCTAACAAGAGTTTTTTTCTAAGTCTTTATATTTCAACAAAACCGCGTTTAAACGTGCCATACAATGTTCTTTTCACACAAATGTCCTGCGAGATTTAAAAAATTGTTTTGTCTATAACTCGATGATGAGTGACCCGTTTATGTTCAAACGTTTACCCTTTTTTCCTTCTTGAGCGATTAGTATATGGTAAAAAACCGAGCTCTTAGAAATACTTTGTCCCTGAGAAACGCGGATTTTATATCAAAAATGTCCTGCAAGATTTTTTTGAAAAAAATAACGTGTGAAATTTATTCTGTCTATAACTTGATCAAAACTGACGAGGGAACGCCACGAAGTGATTAAACGCTTTTTGCTCGGAATCTAGTGGGTTATAGGTTATCGACCATGCTGATTACGAATACGACCATGCGGCTTCCGCATAGCCCTTCGAAGACCTGGTTTTCTAGAAAACG